CCACTCGGCAGCCCAGACAGTGACAGAGCAGAATCGCCGCTCCCGGCCCGGGCACACAGACCGCGCTCAGACTTTGCAATGCTATTAGCGCAGATTCCTCTCTCCGCTACCACTTTAATTTTTTTTTTTTTTTTTTTTTTTTTATTATTTTAAAAACCTTTGTGGAACAGACGCCCTCTCCTTGCCCCAGTTGGAGCTGCAGTAGAATGAAAAGGGGGGGGTGGGAAAGAGGGAGGAGAGGAGAGGGAAAAAAAAAAAAAACGCTTTTGGTTGAGGTTTTCCTGTTACTATCACTGTAGCATTTATTTAGCCAATCTCCTAACTATGACGTGAGGAAGGCAGGAATCATGGCTCCCTCATAATATTTAACACACCCACTGAAAGCTGGAGCTGCAGAGCTACTAGTCCAACCAGTCTCCAGAATTCAGTGTAGCTGAACGAGGTTTTCACTCTGCACCTGCCAAAGATCTCTCCCCCCTCTTCCCTTCTCTCCCCCCGCTTCTCTCTTCCTTTCTCTCTCTCTCTAAAAGGCAGATCTGTAAGACCCAGCAGAGATCAAAGACGGGGCCTCTTTGCGAAAAAGAACCTCTACTGATTTATATTAGTTTCTTTCCTCTAATCCTTCCTCCCCCCCCCTCTTTTTTTTTTCTGTGCCATATTTAACCTTTATGTTGCAGTTGTGCCATCAGACAGTTTTGCAGCCAAAAAAACCCAACCCAAGCCAAAGCAAAAGCTCAGCTCGGATACAGCAGCCACCCAGACTTGATCTCAGTTGAACATACTAATCTCTCCCAAGCACTGGATGCGATGGATGAAGAAACTGGAACGGCTCTAAGAAAATTATTTTCCAGCCAATGTTCTTAAACAGTCTCAGAGAAGAAAGGGAGCGAGAGCGAGCGGGAGAGCGCTTCTGCTGCATCACTGGTCAGACTCAAAGGAAGGGAGTCAGCGTTTCCAGCACAGCCAAATATTATGGATGATTTTTTTTCTTCTGCCGCCTTTCCGTACAGGTTTTCTTAATATTATTCTTCCCCCTTCCTCCTCCCTGTCTTTTTTTTTTTTTTTAATTTTATTTAATCAGAGCTAGCGTCTGATGCTGGTTTCTCTTCAAGAACCAGTTTTCCCTATTTGTTGTGATCCCTGTAATAAAAAGACAGAGAAATCGTGAACAGATGGCTTTATATATTGCAATGCCGCTGGCATTGTTTTCCTACTGATTTTAAAGGCTCGGTCCGGTGCTCCTTTTAAAATTTTTTTCCTTCCCTTTTTTTTTTTTTTTATTTTTCCCTCCCCCTCCTAAGTTCTTGATGATACTGAGAAATGAGGACCTATTGGGTTTAGCCTGTTTATTTCTCGGCGCCTATGGAGATAACTTTATTGACTTGATCGCTCGCTTCCCGATCCGAAAGGAGAAAGCCAGAGCCCCGGGGGGGGGCTGGAAG